GGGAGGCCGGGTGCGCGCCCTGGCGTCCAAGTTGCGCCATCGATCTCGTCGGCACGGGGAAGTGCTGGACGAATGTGCTGCTGTTGGTGCCGGTGCGCTGGTTTGAGTGTGGAAGCACAAATTGGCGACGAGGGTTCTGCGGGATGTAGGGCGTTTTGATGTTTTGGGATGGGACGGGTCGGCATCTGCCGGTTGACGTGTGCTGAGCTGGCTGAGTGTTTTTGACTGTGACACGTCAGGCCGTGCCGAATCGATCAAAAAAACATGGCGAGCGGACGTTTTCGTCGATTGGCGGTGTAAGCGGTGGCCGACCAGTCGAGCGCATAAACTTTTGTCCTTTTTCTTGAAGAAGTGGTCGAGGGCGGAGAATTTGTGAACCAGAATGTCGAAACTGGGTTTCTCCTCCGAACGGTAGGGATGGGCTAGGAGGATTCCCTTGTATGTTCTATGAGATCCCCATGTACGATACAAGCCTCTGGGCGCAGCGACGGCCCCTTATTTGGGAGGAGCTGCTGCCACGTGGTGGCCTTTTTTGGAAGTTGCTGTGGGCTGCTTTGTGCTCTGTGCGCCCACGTGTTGATGAAATTTGGGGTCGGGATGTGGAGACATCGCTGTATTTCAGAGTCCGAAGGGCACGATAGTTCCACGCATGGGTAGAAGCGACGCTGGAGATTAAGTGACCTTGTGTGTAGGAGTGGAACGTATGGAAAATACCAAACATATGAAGCCGCCGAACAGGGGCGCGATTTGCCACGAGTCATGTTTTGTAAGCAGACGTGCCGTTTGCCTTTCTTGCTGACACTGCCCCTGCGTGAATGTATCCGATGCGCCATTTTCGATGGGTGTGTTGATCGTGCCAGTGTGATCGAAATCGCGTCTTGGAATGTGATGTGCATTGTGCTTGCACGCTCGGCACCGTGGCCACACGAATGGCCACTGCTCTGGGTGGATGGGCGGGCCACGCAAACGTCGTGACAAACAGCCAGGCGCTCAGGAACTTCAGGGAGTGCCTGTGCACGCCTTTCAAGGCGCAAACGTTGGCAAAGATCGCCAGTTGGTAGTCCTTGCTGTGAGCCAAGATCTGGCCCATTTCCGACACTGGCATTTGTGGCCAGTGGAACCTTGGCGCCAAGCGGTGAAACGGCCATTGAATACAGCCGAGTGCAGCTGGAAAGTCGTTGCTAACGTGAAGGGGCTCAAGGGCCCCTCGCTTGAGCAGGGCACTTGCGTCCCACGCGCCCAAGTACCACACGCCGAAGGCCCAGGGATGGAATTCCACCTCGTCGCGCGGGTCGGCGATCCGGGCCTCGATTCCAGGCGCCACGAATTGGCCGCCACGCTGCACCCTCCCAGAGGAGTGTGGTTCCCTGCCCTGCACGCCGCTGCCCCCTCGCTCGCGCCCAGGCGGACAGGGCTCCAGGCAGGCGGCCCAAGTTCACACCGTATCGATGCAGTCAACCCTATCACGAAGTGACGTGGCGGGGCTTTTGGTCAGTTCTGACAGGTTCCGATTCTCTTGCCAGAATGTCACTGGCCAAATTGTCGCTGACACCTGGCAGGCGGCAGCCCCTCCTCGTAATGCCAGCGACAGGGCCGCGAGTCGCCCTTTTACTCAACCCCTCCGCGTGCCGCGTCTGCGTCGACCTCGGAATCGCGCGAGCTGCGGACTGCACCGATTCGGCCGCACGGCGGGAGGCCGCCGGCGGGGCGCTGCTCTTCGCGCTTTTCCTCTTTCGCCCCCAGCTGGTGAGAAGGGCGGGGCACGATGGGCCATAGGGTTTACGCCTTGGTGCGCTGATCTGCGTTTGAAATCGCGGCGTTCGTCCGCCTTGGTGAAAATTTTGCACCCTTTTTTGTTGGGGCGCGTGCCGATCGTTGGCAGACGGCTGGGGGGGATTTGCCGAGCGGGGTCCGGGACGGTGCCTGCGCGTGGCCACGGGCAGTTTGCGGATTCTGTGGCAATTGTTTTGAAACTAAGAGCGATCCACCTGGTGGGGATCGGGGCGGGTGCGCTCGCGCGTCGAGGATTCGGATTTCGAGTTCGGCGGCGCCGTGCTGCGAAGGGAGTGGCAGCGGCAGCTCCCGTCGGGGGTCGGCGCGGGTTACTGATCTGGGAGGCATGATCGGCCTGCGTTTGGGGCGCGGGGGGAGGGGGAAGGGGGGGATGATGTAGTTACAAAGTGACGAGGCGGAACCCTCCTTTCCCAGTAGTATTTCAGGCTGTAGGAGCTCCGAGACAAACAATGCCGAACGCAAGGTTATGCAGCTCCAAGAGCAGAGCGCTCCTAGTGAGAAAGGCGAATGGGGGGGCAGGAGGGCAGAGCGGCGGTGCGGTGCCGCGGCATTAGCTTCTGCAGTGTAGAAATGGCCCAGGGGGCTCCTGCTCGGGAGGGAGGCACCCAACACTTATCATCTTTGGCTTTCCTGATGCTATTTGCAATCTAGAGGTGCCTGCTTCCAGGCAGACAATCAATGTTCTTGGGACACATTCTTGCAACCCAGCGGCTTGGCAGCGTGCGGCAATTCGGGACTGGGCCTCGAGGCGCAGCTCTCGCTGATCAAAGTGGGCTCGCTCAGTTAATGCGCCCGATGAACAAGGGGATGAATCCTCTGGTAGCGTGCGCACTGCTTGCCGCCCGCCCCAGCCTCCAGTGGGGAGCAGAGGAGAAGAGAAAATTCTTGGAATGGTGCTCTCAGGCGTAGGACGAAAGCTCACTGTTTCAAGGAGATGCTTGATAATGTGCAGTGTCCATGAAGAAAAAGTTTGGCAGTCTTTGGAGGCGTTGGCAGACGACCCCAGTGGAAAACTGCTCTTGTTTAAATGCTGCACATCAAGTAGACACGAGCAACTTTTTTGGCTTTGCATCGAGAGCTTTATTGCCAGGTGAAACAGGACTCACATCTATTCGGTCAAGTTGGGGTCAGCTCCTGGACCCAAATTTGGTGTGTTGTTTTGGAATAAACGGAAATTGAGAAATATGCCGTGGAAAGGGCACTCCCCTACCTGAGCAGAAGATGGTGAGACACCAATCCAATTCTGCGAAAGGTGGTGCAGAAATCGCTAAAGGCAGAGAGAGAGCGCACGAATAACATATCAACACATACAGCAACAGAGGCTGCACTCAGATGCAAGTCGTGGCAAGTTCCTTGACAGCACAACTGAGCAGGGAGTAGGGACAGGGGCTTGAGGAGTCCTTGTGTTTGGATGATTGGCATTGTGTAGAAACTTGACAGGGACTAGCTGGTGTGCAATCCAGAAAATGGAAGGAAGTTGAAGAATTAATGCATTCACAACATGCAATGTGAAATGGATGCTCTTGACTCTATTGAAGTCAGATATCAGACAGTATGAGCTGCTTCGGTCTTGGCACTCTTGCAACTCTTGTCAAACATTACCAAGCTGAAAATGTGGGCACCTATCAGGTGCGGATCTGGTAACAAATTGCCTTTCTGGGTATCTGGTGGAGGCTTCACTCTTCTCTGGTAGCATCAGGATCAGAATCCAGCAGAATTGAAGCAACAGCGCGATTATCCAACATTTTGACCATCGACCACTGAGTACAGCTCATAGTTTTTATTTTCTGTATGGAATGACACAGAGTCATGGTTTGCATTTTTCTCTCATTCGTTGGTCAAATAGAAGAGCACGCGCATAGGTGTGTTCTTCCCCTTGGCTGTTTTTAGATGACTGACATTCACTGTTGTAACGAAAGCAAGGGCTGTGGAACAAAAATGAAGATGTGTGAAGTGGACACGTCCACGATGAAAGAAACGAAGTCTGGCATCGGACAGCAATGTGCTGTCTGACAGCCTCGCTTTCCTCTCGCCTTCACACACCGTACCACAGAATCGTCCTGTCGTTTGCACTGTAAATTGACAGTTTCATTTTCTGCCCTTCATAGTGCATATGTTCCTGGATGCTTCAATGTGAAATAATGAAATAATGAAATAAATAACAATAAGACAGAGCAAAGGTGTCACTGCACTGCATTCTTACAGCTGTATTCTGCCTCAGCAGGCACTGGGGAATGGATCCCCCAGACTTCGACACAGTGGTCACTGACGATCACATCCTGTCCCATGTCTTGAAATTCATCCCCCCTTCCGATGTGGCCACCTGCACTGCCCTCGTCAACAAACGCTGGGCCCGTGTGGCCTTGCATGGGCCCGTGCATGCGCCCCTGGCGCCCTGCCTGATCACGGCCCTCCGGTTTGACCTGGAGTCCAGGAGGGTGGTGCGCTGGCGGATGTACTGTGCCCTCAGCCTGAGGAACCTGCTGAGGGATCCGTACTTTGTGGAGAGGCCCAAGATCCACCCGGCGGACCCCTTTCGCGAGTGCCCCTGGGTGTGCACCAAGAACCCAGGGCAAGGTACCATCTTTGAGGGAGACACGCCCAACGGTGAGTGTATGGTCCTGATTGCAAGGGTTGTTGTGGGGCAGGGGCTTTGGTGGGAGTTGGAGCACTCCAGGTGTTGGGTGCTGCTGCAGAACGAGTGTTAGGAGTATTTGTGCACTTGACTTGCAGGACACAGTGGCACGTTTGGGTCCATACAGTGGACGTTTGTAAAAACTGTTTGTGCAAGGGCTTCCATGCTGGGGGGTGACAATGCAGAAGTTCAGAAATTCAAGCTTGAATCTTGAGCATTTATTGGATCCTTTGCACCCATCATTGCCTACAAGAAGCAAGGATTCTGTTGTTATGGCCTGTTGACAACTGCATCACATTGTCTTGGAAGCACCTCACTTCCAATTCTCATCGAAAGCCAGAGCAAGCTGCTGCACAGTCATCCCCAGTCCTCACTATCAGCCCGATTCGACATGATCATGTTGTTAGACACATGCGCAACAGTGAACAATACTTAGGCGTGGCATACGAAAACCTCTGTACAGAAAACAATTTTGGGGCATGTTGGAAATTACTGCAGTGAGTTTGGAATTTTCCATTTTTTCAACAGGCATGGATGCTCCTGCTCCTTGCCCCAGACCGCCTTGGGGCAGGGTCTCCAACAACACAAGGCGGCCCCACTACCTGTCTATGGCCAGCAAGGGGGGGGAGGTCACCCAGGTGGTGGATCTGGTGGGTGTCCTTCATGACAGGGGCATCGACAAGGATATTGCGGCAAGGGTGCTGGACGCCTCCCCGTCCTTTGGATTTTCCATATATGTGGGCTCAAGGTAGGCTCTGAAGATAGTCTGTTTCGGGGAGATAAGCATTGGACATCTGTGTACAATGGGCAGCACCCATGGAGGAGCGAATAGATGTAAACTTTGAAACACCTGGATGCATATGTGCCTGTCATCACCTGCAAGATTTGCACTTTGTCATCTGAACGCGCATTGAAATTTTCTTTAGTTTTTATCCTCTATCCTCTATTGGTTATAAATGGCACTTGTTTTTTAAAATGAGGCAGTGAAAGTGGAATTATTCCATCAGTCTGATCCGCCTCTGTGCCCCACCCATACATGAATTTGGCAGGATTATCTTCCAAAGATACTGAATCGGTCCTGTGGGTTTGTGTTCCACCTTGTGATTCATCTTCTCAGCATCAGCTTCAAAGGTGACAGAATTGACCTCATGTAGCGTTTCTATTCACTTTTTTTTATTCGTCATCCATTGTTAGCTGCTTCGAATTTGACAATCGATCTGATCCCTGAAATGCCCTAGGCGCGATTCCGACACTGCCTTCTCCGTGCACGTGGTCCTGGACGCTGGCACCAGGCCCCTGCCCTACTACCAGACAGCCAAGAACGACGCCTTCTCTCGATCTGCCATCGCCCTCTCACCTTGCCCCGTGCTGCTGCCAGAGCGCAACCGCTGGCGGCGCTATGCCTGCACCTTGGAAAGCTATGGCCCAGGTGAGAAGAAGAAGAAGAAGAGTTCCTACATATAGTGGTACGACAAAGATGTGCATGTGACCATCCGTGCTGTACCGGCAGCACATGACCCAACAGCATGCATCATTGCCACGTCCAGGTCCCCCCATGTGTCATCCCACTGCCAGAATCTCAAGATACAAGTCCGTGGAACAGCGCCGCACAGTACATGTGTTCAGGGTGCATCCCAATAGGCGGCCCAGATGAAGAGCTGAGCTTGAAGGAATGAGTGAACCCATCGCAGCAAGCACGGCAAGTGACACACTCGTGTTGGCACAAGTCTCTGCTGAGCTGAGATCATTGGACAGCAGAGTTCTTCTGTCAGTTCTGGCAATGTGCACAGACGCCATATTGCTTGGTACCAACTATGCCACAGCCTGCATGAGACCGGACTTGAAGAAATTGCGATCGTTCTGGAACTGCGCTGATGCTCTGGACAGTTTGCGGAATGGCTCTGCAGCTTTCTGTGGCAAAAATCTTGCCTCTGAATCAGTGAACTTGATGCCTCATTTTGGGAATTGAGCAAGGAGCAATATAGAAGCATTCACAACTTGCATATTGGGCTCATCAGCTTGCCAGCAGAATGGTATGGTGTATGGGCAGATAAATCACACCAACTTCTGCAATGCCAAAGTCTGTGCAATCAAACAAAGATACCAACATCACAAGGACGGAAATACCACTCTTGATCTGCATGACTTGTACAAAATGGGCGAGCCACAGTGGTTTTGCAACAAAATCCCCAACAGAAACATCAGTCACCAACAAACTCAGCATACTCCCTTGACACGGCGGTTTAATTCCATCTGACATATCGTGGCAGGGTGCTGCTCTTGCACCCGCAAGGAAACAATGGACAGTCTTCCATCCAGGTTGTCTGAGAGTCTTTGGTCATGTGGCTTGTAACTGATTGCCTTGCCTTGCTGTGCATCCTTGGATTCTGCTTCCCGGACCCCTTCAAAATACTGCCCTTGTGGGATGCTGTTGGACAAGATTCGCAGATCACAATCCCTTGACTGCTATCTCAAAGCTAAAGTCTAGGGTTGGGTCTGGTTTCAAACTGCTGAGTTTAATTTGCTGTCCGCAGGTGTGAGGAGGGCGGTGGTGAGCCTGAGGGGCAAGGGTGTCGACCAGACGGACCAGTGGGGGCCCAAATTCGCCAGCCCGGAGCTGGTGGTGCTGTCAGCGGGCGACACAGAGGCGTGGATGAAGGTGGGGGTTTGGGGACGGGGGGTATCTTTTTGGCTTTTGGGGTGGAGTACTTTGCCGCGATCTTCTTTTCCTTCGTTTGCCCCCAGGGCAGCTTTAAGCACCTTTCTGGTGTGTGCAGAGCAATAGGAAGTAATTGGAAGTGATAAGAAGCAATCCTTGCACTTGCATTGACCAAAGGGTGCTTTTATTGATGGCTCTCGTTTCCAAGGGGCTCTGGCAAGCAGGCGCTGCCTGTGTCACAAAAGCTGATGCGGCGCAAAATATGTGCAAAGCGCTGCGCCAATACTCTGATTGCGTTCCTTGAGATTTTGCCGGCCCTGATATTGTAGTGCGGGCAGGAGACAATACAAAGCAAGGGGCGGGGGGTGGCTGGGTGGGCGTCATGGCGTGATCCTTTCTTTCCATGCAGTGTGCTGTTTCATTTCGTTGCCTGTTGCTCTTCCGTAGCTGTGCAGGAAAAGAGGGTGGGGTTTGGGGTGTGTGTGTGCGTGTGCGCATGCGTGTGTGTGTGGGTGGGTGGGTGGGGTGGGGTGGGGTGGGGTGGGGGGTGGGTGGATGTGCATTGAAGGCTTGCCATTTCCGCCCTTCATACTGACGTTTCAAGGCTGCACAAGTGCCCGCGGTGCTGCAATCCGAACTTCCGCTTCGATTCCGGAACTTGGCTCTTGTTGCTCTGTTCAACTTGTACCCGACTCCACCAGATCTGAATGTCTCCTTGCTGTCGCTTCCAGGAAGATGGTGAGTGGCTTGCGCTGCAGCTGGACTCCCTGCGCAGGATGCAGGCTTCCTGTTGTCCATCAGGCTGACACACTGTCCTCCATGTCAGAAAGCCATCGGCATTTGAGTGTCCACAGTGGAAAAATGCGAAAGTTGCAAAATGACCGAAAAAGAAAAGGAAAGCATTGGAAGGAGCAGCCGCAGCCATACATCCAGAAGCTTCTCTCCACATCGAGGATGGGGTCATCTGGTGACGCATCTGTCAGTAAAAAGATGTCGGGCAGAACATGTGGCTGGGTGATGTTCACGCAGACACAAGAGGGATACGGCGTTGAACTGCAAGATTGAGTATTACTATGGAGTGGACTGTTGTATTGCATTCGCGCAAGGTAGACTGCAATTGCAGGATGAAGAGAGGACTGCGGCTGCACGATGGTTGGAGGCTTTTCAAAGCTATCCTTTGCAGCGTGATTTTACTTTCCTTTTCGGGTATTAGGCCGCAATCTCATCAAGTCAAGACTTTGATAGTGAAAATGTGGCCAGAAAATGGAAGTTGGGAGGTGGTGCACTGCCGTGCTTCGAGTTGTCAAAGGGCTAACACATTAGGCAATCCTTTTCGGAATGTTGATGTTGATGGTGTGCAATATGTAGGCTGGGCTGCGCAGGGGCCTTGGGACTGGTGACTTGCTCGTGAGCGGAGGCTTGGTTTCACTGTTGCAGTATGTGTTGAGACAGTATGCCACGTGTGGGTAGTTTCAATTTTTGACAGCATTGTGGGGTTGCGAAAATCACCATGGAGGGCTTGGGTCAGAGGGTGATAAATCAGTGCCCAAGCGTCTAATGGGCGTTGCCTGGGGCTGTGGGGTGCGCTGTGTGTCGAATTGGGTAATACCCAGATAATACCCAGGTTACTGTCAGATTCTCCAGTACGTCTGCCAACAATCACAGGGGGCGACTGTTGTGAAGGGTGATGCGGCTGGTGGGAGCTTGTGAGCCAAGCTGATGTCCAGGCTGCTCGTCCAGAAGATGAGAGTGGACCCGCTGATGAGATCGGATGAGATCCATACTTGTGATTCGAGGGACTCGTCGTGAGCGGACAGATGAACGACAGGCAGTGCAAGATCCTGCAACATTATTTTTTCTTTCGCCTGGGGCCAGAACTCTCGTTTTTTCTTTGGAATTCCAAAACGCCACATCGCAGTTTCTGTCACCGCCGCGCGACGTGTGCGCTGTAGATACCAGACAAGTCAAGATCGCATAAGACCCAATCTGGTCAGGCCGAAGGCCCGTCGCGGTTGGAATAACTCGCGGCAGCAGAAATGAAGCGCGTCACGGCACCATGCGCCTGAGAGGGGCATGAACACAACACGTCTCAGCGAATCATTATTGTCGCGCTGACCGCTCGCGCTCAGTCTGCACTCGGTCGCTCCCAGGCACGGGAAGCAAGTCCGCAACCGGGTGTGTTACATGATGAATGTACCAGTTCAATATCCATTTCCTCCTCCCGTGTCTCCATGTACATGTCACCGCAACACTGTCGCCATGTTCACCGTACCACATCTCCGTACGTCACGCAATCACTCGTTAATTGTTCTTTCGCCCTCACAATTATCTGTGTCGAATTAGCATGCTGCTCACCGTCAATTGACCTCTTGCATGATTGCCACTCGCGCTTCGCGGTGTGCATTGGGACACGTTTACACAGTGTCAGCATCCCGATGTCTTGAACTAAAGGAACGCAGGAATTGCTCAGGCAAAATAGGAAGCTGACGGCTACCTCATTGCCTTGTTCTGTAAAAAATCATGATGATGATGATGAACTAAAGGAATGCAGGCGTTCCTGCACGTCCTAGGACAACATGCCGATCTTCCAGCATCGACCAAATCCAGACTACATTTGTGTCAGCTTGGTTTTGGCACTCAGGGTACGGGGACAGCTAATAGGGCTGGCCCATTGGGCACAAGACCGAGTGGGTGGGTGGATGCCCTGCCCGCGCACCATCGTGAGGTGGCGCCACAGCCACGCGTCGCCACCCGGAAGCCACACCTCCGAGTCTGCAGGGCCGAGTGACGTACACACGAGTCGGCAGGCGCCCGTCGCCGTGCACCGTGGCCACGGCGACGCGACCGGTGCGCTGCAGATAGTAGATAGTGCTGTGGAGAAGTAACGGAGAGCGCAACGGGAAGTAAGCAACACACGATGGCACGCATTCGCGAATGTGTTATCGATAAAGGTTCAAGAATACAAAAAAGAGAAAAGCCATTTTCCGTTTTCTTCTTTCTCTTTTTTCTCTTCTGTACTTCAACTACAAGTTGGACATATTCCGCCCTTGCCTTGCATGTGCTGCGAGTGGGAGATGTCAGGTCATGTAAGAGCCAACCAAATATACCAGATCATGCTAGTCCAGTCACTCCTGTGCTGCCCCGGTCGCGCACACGAGAACGGCTAACCGGCACGGACACGGAATTAAATACACAACAAAATGTAAGGAGCGTCAGCGGCCGGCACTATGCTACAAAAGGGCCCACTGCAGCTGCGCGGATTGAAGCCCAATGGGTTCTGCCCCGCCCTTGTCCATCAGCGCGGTCCAGCTGTCACGTCCGTTGGGATTCTACATTCACCCAGCCTTTCACCCAATCGGCACAGCTGGGTATCCGGGCCCCCCTACCCTTCAACAGCCAAATGTGCCACTGCTTGTGGCACGTGCGTGACAGGCGCAGCATACTGCTGTAGCGCATAGTACAGTAGCAGAGTACTAGACGTATCACAGTACTCAGATCTGGTGCCTCAGAGGAGCAGACGGCAACAAAACGTGCTATGTATTTTGGTGCTCATGCGCCAGTCCGTCTTGGCCCACGGAGTTTCCATCACCCCACTCAACGGCGAAGGCACGACCTTTGCCGGCCGGTGCGGACGGGGCGGCATAGGCGCCGTGGCTGCCCTGGCTTCGCTGCTCGTTCGCTCTGGCTTCGTTGCGCCTTCGCCCAGGCTTCCTGCCTCATTCCATCTTGGCGACGAAAGAAGTTCCGCAACCGCAGGCCGATTCCGACTGGGGGTTGTTGGCCACCTGCGGTCACACCGTCAATTAAAAATCTCTTCATATTCAAGCGTATATATTCAAACATCACCATGCCCAACAATACGTATCATGAGGGAATTCCACCGAAACAACAATGCTGAGCAGCACTGCTGAGGAGATACTTACGTAGTGATAAAGAAGAAATCTGACCAGAAAGATATGTGGAAAAGATAGGTGTGTGGCGGTCGAGAAGGCCGACGAAGTGGATGGGAAAAGATCCCCGTGTGGGAAAGGAAGTATGCAACGAGAAAACAGTGAACGCGGCCCTGCCACCATCATGGAAACAAATGCCAACACGCATTAAGGATGCAAGCAAATGGAAACTGCAGACTGGCCCCTCAGCCAGGTGCGACGTGTAGGTGGGCGTAGTGCTGTAATCGCATCTGGCATTGGTGCCGTTGGCAGCCCAGCAGAAGCAACAGGAAACAAAGAACTCACCAGCTTGGGTAAGAGCTACTTATGCCGGAACTGCCTAGGGTGAGTACTGCCTTGGGCAAGATCTGAATATCCTACCTGGAATGCCGACCTCATTAGATCGCTCGAGTATTCCACTGTCGAGCCTTTGAGGAAGTCCAGTGACAAACTGTCGCACACCACTCGCACGCCGTCCTTCTCGAACACCCTGCAGCAAAACGCGCAGAAATTGAAACACATTCAAATCAAATGCAGTTGGACTTCACGCAATGCGCTGTTTGAGACACCTTGCTACTTAGACGTCAGGGAGGACAACTGTACGGCATGTGTTTTGCGAGTGATCTATCAAAAAGAAACTAGGTAACACCGCGTTCGATACATTCTCAAATTCTTCTGATTGGTGGATTCTGTAGTGATGGATAGAATATCCTCTAATGATGGTTGACAGCGTCATGTGGTGAACTGACCCAGCTGACTTCCTTTCAGTCCACTTAACAAACCTGTAGACAAGTGGACGATCTCATGCTTGGGTCATCACTTCAACAGTGCAGTACAGGTCATCCATGCACGACATACTGCAGTACACACGTATCAATGGAACAATACGGTGTGTAGGCATGCCCACACATGGTCTTGATTTCATCACGTGGCCTGTTGGGTGCTTATTTCCTGTCTTTCTGGGACACTCGAGTCACATTATGGAAGCGACTTTCTAAACTCATTTTGCGGTGGGCGTGCTTCTCCATGACTAGTTTGCCTTTCCATTCAGTAACAGTCCCGTGCAACTGC